TTGTTTCTCCTGAAACCTCTCTCCTGGGCCTGCAGACAGACGGCCACCTTCTCGCTGGGTCCCCCCATGGTCTTCCTTCCACACAGGCGCTGCCCTGGTGTCTGTGTGTCCGAGTCTCCTCTTTTTATAAGGACACTGGTCCTGTTGGACTAGGGCCCAAGCTAATGGCCTCATTTTCATTGAATCATTTCTTTAAAGACCCCGCCACCCATCTCCAACTATAGTCACATGCTGAGGCCCTGGGGGTTGGGACTCCAACGGAGGAATTCTGGGAGGACACCAGTCAGCCCCTAGTAACCTGTAACATGAGGCGTGGATGGGTGTGGCTCGGAACACAGGCAGGGAACACAGTAGCGGGTAGATGTTTGCGGTGTGCACACGTGAGTTTGTGTGTGTGTGTGTGTGTGTGTGTGTGTGTGTGTGTGTGTTTTATATATTCCTGGGTGGATCTCTTTAGCTCCGAGCAGCTGGGTGGTGTTGCCGTCTGTATACATCTAGCGTTTCTCAAAGACAAAACTGTGCATCAGCAAATGCAAACTTCATGTCGTACTTAAATTGGTCCCTAACATGCCACTTGCGCCGGCAGGAGTTTGTGTTTTTAGCAAGGGTTGTAGTGGGCCTGGCTGTACGTGCTGGGCTGGGCGGTGAGGGCTGTGGGCGGCCTCTCTCCAGGGCTGACCGTAGCTCCCGGGGCACGGCGGGGGGCCCGTCCGAAGCATGTCATCCCCACCGCCGAGCCCCGGGTGCAAAAGAACAGCCATAACCACCACCCCCATTTGCACAGGTGGGCCACAAAGGCCTGGGATCTGAGAGGCCTGCCCGGCAGCGGTGCTGCTTGGGGTTTGGGCGGGGGCGGGGGGGGGGGACCCAGGCCCTTTTGATCTTGATGGCGGTTCTCAGATCTGCCCCTGCAAGCGGTTCGGCCAACAGGGCATATTGAACGTGCAGATTCCCAGGCTCCTCTGCTGGCGTGTGGATCCCATCAGGGCCTGGGCCTAGGAGGCTCCCAGGTTGATCGTCATGACGTGACCAGGCAATGTCAGGTGATGCTGCCCTCCGTCTCCCAGTGTGTCTGCGACACTTGATCCGTGTTTGTAACTGATGATTCAGATGTTTGAAACGACATTTTCCATGTGAGCGGGACCTGCTCCTGAGGTTGGGTCTGTCCTCGCCCTCGCGCCCGCCCCCGCAACAAGCCGACCTCAGCCCAGAGAGGTAGCAAAGCTGCGTGCAAAGTACTGAGGCCGTGGAGGTGACCCATGTGCTCTAGCTCCCTAGCTGTGAGACCCCAGGCAAGTCCCAACCTGGAGAGGAGAGTGCGCTGGGTCCCATTTTATAGATGTGTAGACTGTGGCGCCCGGGAGTCAGCGTCCGGAAAGCAGGTGGCTTAGTGCCCGCCCAAGCTCCCGCTGTCCCCTCATCCTTTCCAGTTCGGGTGGTGGCAGGCGACAGCGGGCAGGAAGCTCAGGAGGGTTCGTGTTGTAGAAATTGCCCTGGAGGGCGCCTGGGTGGCTCAGATGGTTGGGCTTCTGCCTTTGGCTCGGGTCATGGTCCCGGGGTCCTGGGATCAAGTCCCGCATCGGGCTCCCTGCTCCCTGGGAGCCTGCTTCTCCCTCTGCCTCTCTCTCTCTCTCATGAATAAATAAATAAAAAGTTTAAAAAATAATAAACCTGCTATAACTATGGCAATTTAAAAAAAAAAAAAAAGAAAGAAATTGCCCTGGAGTCACCAGACTACAGAGGTCACAGAAACAGTCTCCGCGTAAGATGGCTCATATTTCCAACACCAATTGCAAGTTCAAGGGGTTCCAGAAATCACCCTCTGGTTTGAGAAGTCATTAGAGAGACACATACTCACTGAAGGCTGTTACCCTCATGTTACCCTCGCATTACATTGGGGAAGCTCACTGAGCTGTGGTGCCCAGCGTTTTTATTGGGGCACGATGACTGACTGATGGATTGCCCTCCTTGTTGAACTCGGTCGCCAGGCCAGCTGATACTGGGTGACCACCCTAAGTCACACAGTTGGTCTTCCCGGCATGGCCAGCCCTACACTAAGATCCCGTGTGGTCAGCCCCTGCCCTAACCAGACACGCTCCTATTGCCTATGACATAGATCACCTCCCAGAAGCCCAGCGCGGACAAGGCCAAAGTCAGCCCTGCTCTGAAAGTCATGGTGGGAACTGGCTTTGGCTGATCTGGTGAATGTAAATGTGCTCGGGGTGGGGGGAGGGGGGGCAGGCACAGCCATGGGTCCAATCAAAGCACTTTGCAAACACCATTTCTCATTTCAGCCTCAGGCCAACCACACGGTGCCGTAGACAACTCCCCCCACCCTACACACACACACACACACACACACACACACACACACACACACACACACGTTGCAGATGGGGACAGCGAGGGGAGGCCCCTTGCCCCCCATTACAGAACCAGTAAGCTGTAGAGCCAGAATGCCTTGACCCCTTATAGTTGGCTATTAGTTTTTAAACTTTTGAAAAACATTAATAAGTTGCTGCCCCACTTCAGATGGCCTGTCCAGCACCCCCTGGCGTTCCTTTGGTAATTTCCGGCCCCCTGGAGAAGGAAAGACCACCCCGAGTCCACTGGTCTCAGGGCCACACTCAGCGGGAGCTGGAAGAGGTGCAAAGCCATAAAGCAGCCTGGAGGGAAGTTATTTTTCAATCAAGTTGGGCTTTGCCTCGCTAATCCTTCCCTTCTGCAGGGGCCGAGGGCAGAAAACTCTTCTCTGTGTGACGAGACCCCGGGCCTGGTTCTGGCCCATGGACCCGAGTGTAGGACCTGGGTCTAAAAGTAAAGGAATGCGTCTCAGAAAGCCACGTGGCCGGGAGGGCCCAGCTGCTCCTTCTGAAGGAAAAGATTGAATGTGGGAGGAGGGGCGTCCAACAAAGGCCCGACGGTTCTCTGCGATTCCACTGCTCTAGAATCGGAGGGAACTGGCTCCCTACATTTAGCATTTCTCTTTCTTCCTGGGTGATCCTGAGCACGAAACTCCCTCACCTCTCTTTCCTGGTCTGTAAAGTGGAGGTCTCAACACCCACCTGCCGAGTGCCCAGCTCGGTGCGCACAACTTAATACGTTGAGGTGCCTGGTTTCCGCAAGCGAGGGTAATAGATGATCTTTGTGATTCGGACACCAGGCCCTCCTTGCTCTATAGCAAACAAGTTCAGGTGATAAACTGAAGACGTTCAGAAGGGCCCAAGGAGGGAACCGGTGTGTTTGAAAGATTGCAAAGACCGCTTGACTGGGAGATGAGCTGATTTAGCGGATTCTGTTGGCCAAGTGAACATCAGGTGCGGGGCAGCAAAGCTCTGACAGCATGCAAGATGGCGGGTGGAGGCTTAGCGCTGCCATCTGAGAACTAGGAAGATGGACATTGCCTTTGGCTCTTCAGCACCCCCCCCACACACACACACGTGGGATCACTTGGTGCAGATGCTGAGTGCACATACCACATGGGAAATAAAGAGTGCACGCAGGAAACCCAGAGGTTAGAGGGGGTGACGTTTGGTTCCAGGTGGTCCCCTGAGCAGATTTCCTGTATTGTCGTTAAAAGCCTAATGCCTTTTCAAGATCTCACAGTCTTTGCCACCTTTTCAAATACCTGTCCTTCCCAGTTTCCCCCAACTCCGCCAGCTCACCCCCCAACACACAGAAACATTTGGCTCATCGTCTCTGAGACTTTTGTCCGATCCCCCCCCGCCGCCATGTTGTTCAGAGGCCCTGGGCAATATACAGTATTTACAAACCCTTCCTCATGCCTCAAACTCTTGCATTCATTCATTCTTTGCACCCTGCAGTGAGAGGCTTCCTGGCTTGGCAGGGTGACCCCCAGTAAGGCTCATCTGCAAGGACAACACATCCCTTAGCTCTTCGCCATTTGTAATCGTTTCTCGTTTCTCGCATAGACTCAGCAGCGACGCTTCACTGAAGTTGGATGGCTTTTTGAGCACAACTCAGATGGGGGAGGGGCGTAAAGGAGAGAAAAGACATCATGGAGAGCCCATTGCCTATCCTGGGGCTGCTGAGCCATTCTGCTGTGAATCATTTTCCGCTGCTGCGCTGGGGATGGGGTGTGTGCGAAACAGGTGTGCAGGTTGTGAAGTGATGTAGAAGAGCCCACCAGCGCTTATGCATAATAGTACTCATTACTGAAGTATTTTTAGCGGCCCCAAACATCACAGCTAGCCTAACTACCAACAATGGGGATGTGGCTGAGTCCACACCGATGGGTTTCTGATGGGTTTCGAAAAACAAGAGAACGTGTCTTGTACCAGTCAGGATTGTGTTTAGCTGCAAGTAACAAAAACCCAACTTATGGGACTTCACCCAAGAGGGTTCATCTAGCTCCTACAACAGGAAGCCCAGAGCTAGGCAGCCTACAGCCGGTTCGGGACCCAGCGGGGCCATCAGGGAACCAGCTACTTCCATCCACTGCTCAACCATCCTTAGCGCTGGCTCTTGTTTCTAGCTCCACGGCTCCATTCCGGGAAGCCAGAGGATTAGAAGAAGGGCAAAGAGGGCACAGTCCAGCATCTTCTGCTCCCTTCTACAGAGCACTCCTGGAAAACCCACCCCCTAACTCTCTAATTTCCACCCCCACTTCATCAGCCAGGCTCTGTCACACGACTACCCCTAACTGCCCGGGAGGCTGGGAAATGATCCTTTGTAAACTAGGCAGATTGCTGACTCAAAATTAGGATCCTGGGAGTTGAGAAGAGCAAAATGGTTATAGGGGAGGCATCCAGCACTGTCTGCTCAGCCCACCCTAAGCCACCCGGCATCCATACACGCCTTCTCCCAAGGAGAGAGCCACACGGTTTCATCCTGTTGTTGCAACTGGGGCTCAGAATCCAGGATCGTGAAGGGCTGTGCCAGGTTACCCACCAGGTCTGAACGTGTGTGGTTCCTTGTGCCTATAAACGAAAAGACAGGTGGTCTGCCCTCCTCCCCTCACCCAGCCCCAGTGTACAATGATGGAGAAGAGAAGCAAGATAATAAGAATGACAACAATAACCACCATTCGGGAAAGGTGAGGAGAGGTCCCTGCTCGGCACCCAGCAGCGCCCACCATGCAGATACCACGCTGCACACACGATAGGGTCAAAAGTATGTTAAAACAAGTGAGCAAAATTAAAACGCATGCAGAAGGCAAAATGGAAGGAAAGACGCAATCTGGGAATAATTCAACCCATGTGACTTTTTTCTATTGACTTTTCCAGTGTTTTCTGTTCTAGGTATCTTTTTTGAACAAAATCCTTTTGTCAGATACTACGTTTGTAAATATTTCCCCCGATGGTCTGGAGAACAGAAAATCAGAAACATTGCACTCTGCACAGGGTTGAATACATGGAAGTTTTTTTTTAAGTAAAATTTAAAATTTCTCCCAAATATAGGCACATGGTTAAAAAGATAAAATACACAGACAAGCTTATAATGAAAGCAGTGTCCTTCTCCGTCAGCTTTCTCCACCTGCTGGCCTGTCCCCACGGGGAAGGCTTTTTGCAGCTTTTAGACTTTTTCACATAGGATTCTTCCCTTGCCTAAGGTGTGGTTCTGTGTAGAACAACTGGGTAAAATATGTGAACTTGAAAATAACACAACCCCGAAAATATGCATCCATCTGCAGAGGGATCCGCCAGGGTGGCAGGCAGTGTGGTCGGAGGTAGTGACCTAAATTGGAAGGACTTAGAATATTCTACTAATGAGGGCGTCTGGGTGGCTCAGTTGTTAAGCGTCTGCCTTCGGCTCAGGTCATGATCCCAGGGTCCTGGGATCGAGCCCCGCATCGGGCTCCCTGCTCTGCGGAAAGCCTGCTTCTCCCTCTCCCACTCCCCCTGCTTGTGTTCCCTCTCTCGCTGTGTCTCTCTCTGTCAAAGAAATAAATAAAATCTTAAAAAAATAAAAGTTTGTTTGAATCGGGATCCAGAGAAAGGCCCTACATTGCAATGGGCTGGTGTCTCTGAAGCCTTTAAACCTTTCTTAATCCGTAGGTTTTCCTTCTCTTTCTTCTTTGTACTTTGTTGAAGAAATTAGTGAGGATGCTTTTAACTGTAACCAACAGAAACCCATGAGAACGTGACGAAGCTATAAAGTTGCATTAAGAAAACTACAGTGGTCCCACTGAATCCAAAGGCCCGGGTGCAGCAGGGCCTCAGGTGAAGGCTGGAACAGGACTGCCCTTTGCACACTTTGCCCCGCTCCATCTTTTTCCTGATTGTTCTTTTTTGCCCTCCGGTCTACACAGCAGCTGATGGCCTCCATACCACCCACGGCATTCAGAGACCAGCCGGACGGAGGCTGCGTTCAGTCCCCGTGTGAGTTCCTAAGAAGGGGCCCTGATCCAGTGGCCGAGTCGTTGGCCTCCAGAGTCCCACTGCCCTTACCACTCGAATCTACGGGCAGAACACTCACGGGGTACACACCACAATGAGAGTACTCATCTCATAGGGTAGCTGGGTCAGAGGAAAGAAACAAGGTGTGCACAGTGTGAGCCCCAAATACACTGCACCTTCAGCCATAAAAAACGGACCACCAAAAACTCTTAGGAGTTTTGAAGTTTAGGAGTCATGAAGTTTCCTTTAAGCACAATGAGGCTATACCCCACATCTTCCTGAGAGTCAATCAGACCTAGCGCCATCATTGGCCATTCATTTAAGTCAAGTGCCAAATGCTAACGTGGGCCAGACGTGGCCCTTGGCCACTGTGTGCAGGTGGTGGACAGTTATGCAGTCAGGCTTGTCCTCTTGGTTCCTGAACTGATGCACCAAAAATGCTGGCCTGGGAGAAATCCCTTCATGGGAACAACGCTGTGGACTTGGATTCCAGGTCCCCCCTGGATGCCCCCCACTGATAGAGCCACAGTGATCTACCCCATCAGGGCCAGCATACTGCTGAGCTGGTCCCCACACTGCTTCCCAGGAATCTTCCCCGAAACTTTCTGGGTTCTGTCCCATTGGATCCGCCTGAGGTTGTGGCTCCCAGAAACAGAGACTGTGGGAGTCGCAGGGGGCAGGTACAAAACGGGAGAAGATCTGGATTTCTTCCTAGAGCCATGCTGGGGAGGTTAGACAACAGGCCAGAGGTCAAGGTTGCAGTTGGAGAGTGATCCAGGCTGTATCAGAATGGGCGTGGTGGTTTCGGAGGCCAGATGCAAGGAGCAGACTGGTAGATGGGTTTTCCACTCATTTGACAAGCATCTGCACTCACGTACCAGGGGCAACAGTGACGTACAAGACACTTTCTACTAATGGAGTTACTCATTCATGTGTTCGTGCATTCACTGAGGACACCCTCCTTTCTTGAACCAAAACATTTAAGGTGGCTTACCTGATCCATAAAACAGAGTTAAAAAGAAAATCAACAAAAGAGTCTATATCAAGTAATATCTTTGTAAAAATTGGGTGAAAGTGAGTATCCAGATTAGATGGGCCATGGTCCCATTCATCTGTGAAACTCGGACATCAGGTTTCATAAAGAATTTCCCGGCAACAGAGCAATAAAGGAAATTCATCTGGCTATGAGATTTTTGTTGCCCCCAATGAGGAAAACGTGAATATTTGCAGAACCCCTGAACCTTTGTGTAAGAAGCTGTTCGTGATAGGATCTGTCCCTACTTTGGGTAGACTCCTGTGTTTTCATCTCCTGCATAAATGCACAGATTCATTTTCAAATACAAAATTCATCCCGAAGAAATCTGTGACAAGGAGAGTCATCATAGCATATCCGGATGGAGGAATGATAATAGCTTTCAAGAGCAGTAACAAAACCTTCCAGCTCATCAGCTTTTTGGCAGCCTGAAAACCATTTACCAGGCTTTCTATCAGAATCAGCTGCTGGAGAGTATTGATGTGTTTTTAGTTTCTTTCTAAAATGCTAAGGTTTGAAGGACTGGAAACGTTTGGCCTCTCCAGGTTGGTCACCTCTGATGGCCTGCCTTCCTGATGTCAAACTGAGGCCCATTTATTTCCTCTCGCTTCCCTAACTGTTGTACCCCTACTGGATTAGCCCTTTTCCAAAAGACAGCTTTAAGATCATAGGAGCTTGGGGCGCCTGGGTGGCTCAGTCGTTAAGCGTCTGCCTTCGGCTCAGGTCATGATCCCAGGGTCCTGGGATCGAGCCCCGCATCGGGCTCCTCGCTCAGCAAGAAGCCTGCTTCTCCCTCTCCCACTCCCCCTGCTTGTGTTCCCTCTCTCGCTGTGTCTCTCTCTGTCAAAGAAATAAAATCTTTAAAAAAAAAAAGATCATGGGAGCTTGATTTTGGAGAAGTGCTGAGCGCCTCGTCCTGAGAGGCATTCAAGTAGACTCTGGATGACTTCCTTAATGCCAGTGCTGGATGGGAAGCTACCCTCAGTAATCTTATTTAAGAACCTCTCCAACCAAAACACCAGATTCCCAAATGGTCTGATGAGCAGAGTAAATCCGGGTTCCTCATGGGGCTCAGAAAATGGGGAAGATTACTCTCCTTGAACAAAATTTAATCTACTAAGAAGTTTTGCCTACAAGTAGGAGGTAGCCTACTTGATTTTATTTTTTTTTTTTTACTCGTTTCTATTTAAACTTTACAGAAAAAGAGAAAAAAAGTCACTGATGATTGTTTGGGGTGGTTTTTCCTCTTGCTTCCTTGGGTTCCTCAGACAAAGGGGACATTTAGCAGGGGTGAGGCGAGGAAGGAGTAGGTGCTCTGACCGACTTGTCTTGGAAGAGGCTGGTTTGCTGAACAAGGAAAGCAAAGGTAAGAATCATGTCAAAGCCTGGTTGCCCAAATGTTGTTTTTCTTACTGGTTTTGGTCACGGGAGGAGAGAAGGCATTCTCTGATCTGCAGGCACCAAACCTCACTCAGCTTTTCTGCTTCTCTTTAAGATTTTATTTATTTGAGGGGGGAGAGGGGCGGAGGGAGGAAGAATCGGAAGCAGACTCCCTACTGAGCATGGAACCAATGCGGGGCTCGATCCCTCGATCGCGAGATCATGACCTGAGCTGAAACCAAGAGTTGGACGGCTCAACCCCCTGAGCCCCCCAGGCACCCCCGTCTTTCTGCTTTTATTTCCCCCATGCCTGCCACTCCACCCACCCCACGTTTCCCACCACTGCTATTTTATTTTCCTATGACAATAAATAGAATGCAAACAACCCCCCCCCCTCCGGAAGCCCTAAATCGAATTTTTAAAAAAGTTGGGCCATGAGGTCGGGCCACCAGTTAGACCTGGGACGGCTGCTTAAATCAGGTGGTGGGGCCTGTGGAGTCTAGAGCAGGGCTTGGCAAACTGCAGCCCATGGCCTGTTCATATAAATAAAGTTTTATTGGAACACAGCCATGCCCGTTTATGTACTGTCTTGGCTGCTTTCCCACCAGGACCGCAGAGTTGACTAGTCGCTGGAGACCATGTGGCCTGCGAAGTCTAAAACATTTACTATCTGGCCCTTGACAGGAAAAATGGCCAACTCCTGGCCCAGAGCAGTGGCGCTCAGCTCTGGCTCTGTGTCAGAATCACCTGGGGAGCTTTGAAAATGCAGATTCCTGGGCCCCGCACCCAGGGATTTGGATTCAATTAGTCTGGAGTGGAGCCCAGACATCCCTATATTTTAGAGCTTCCCCAGGTGACTGTCATGTGCGGCCACGGTTGAGAATCACGTGTCTAGTCTCAGTGGGGTTTTTTTTTTTTTTTTTAAGATTACAGACCTGGAATTTGCCATTCTGCATTTGTACCCAGTGACAATGACCCAACCTTGACCTCAATGTCACTGTGCAGCCCTTCGGTCCGAACCATGTGTCTGTGGCATCAGGGAGACCTTGTAATGATAAAAGCCCCCAGTGCCCCTGGGGACTAAATGTGCCTGAAGAGGGTTGGAGGTGAACTGCATTACGGTGAGGGGCACGCCTGCACGCACACACAGATGTGTGTGAGTGTGTCCGTTTGGATGGCCCGTGTGAGGGGGCCTCACTTTTGTCTGCTTTCAGACAAAGCATTTCTTTCTTTCTTTCTTTCTTTCTTTCTTTCTTTCTTTCTTTCTTTCTTTCTTTCTTTCTTTCTTTCTTTCTTTCTTTTTCTTTCTTTCTTTCTTTCTTTTTTTAGGTTTTAAAAAATTTATTTTTTAATGGCAACCAGTGTCGTGTGAAGCGTTCGTATTTGTCACTTTGGTGCAGCTCGGTCCCTGGACCCCCACACTGGCAGCCTCTCCTCTCTCCTGCTAATTAATGCGAAATGTTGGTGACACCTCCAGCCCAAGGAGAATCTGACACTTCCTGCCTCCCCTGACCACAGGTTCCAGCCCTCCATCTCCTGCTCAGAGTAGGAATTTAGAATCACGCTGGTGTCACTGTTTTTTTGGCAGGCAAAAGCGGTAAATGGGGGTTTCACAGTTTGCTTTATCCCTTGCATTTAAAGCAAGCATTAACCACCTTGCTTCTCGCTGTCTGTGTCACCCACGGGGGGATCCCAGTGCCTTCCACCCTCCTGGCCGCTGTCCCTGGCCGCAGCACCGTGTCTACCAGCCAGGATGACCAACTCATCCCAGTGTGCCGGAAACTTTCCCAGTTTTAGCACTGAACGTCCCGAGTCCTGGAGTTCCTCCTTGGTCCTGGGTGAACCGGGACAGTTGGGTCGCCCTAATACTCGAGATTCCCGATTCCCGCGGCTGATTGGCCTTTGTACTTGAAAACATTGGTATGTGGAGGGCAGGTGCGGGGTTTATGAAAGACAGATGTGCTTAAAAATGCAAATCAAGGTCATTTGTATGCAGTGGAATGTTTTTAATCTCCTTAAAAAAAAAAAAAATAGCTGAACCCAAGCGGTCGAGTTAATTCTTATTAGGCCTGTTAAGATCTGTTTTGGGATAAAATACCAGGTCAGCTGTTATTCCACAGTTGAGCTAACCTGGGCATGAAACAGGTTCTTCATGAAGGTTCTTCGGTAAAGTGTTAATTTTGAAGGGGTTCGACCAGCCCAGCGCCGTGCCGCGGGGAGAGTCTTGGCTTATAGCAACCACGGTAGAGTCTTCTCCCGGTTCTACTGCCAAGTCTCCGAGGCTCGGTGTCCTTTTCCACGCAGGAAGTACTGTCGCTCACCGGGGCTGAGGTGGCTGGGACAAATGAATGGCGGGTGTCAGGTGATTCTCACTGTGCTGGGAACAGACTTAGTTAATGTTGGCTTCCTCCCTTCCTTCCTGGGGAGCCTGGTTCGCACTCATGACGGGTGTTAGCTAGGGCAGAGGCAGTGCCCCAGCAACAAGCCCAAGATGCCTGTGGCCTAACTCAGGGACGACGCGTTTCTGACTCACTCAGTGGTCCGACAGTGCTATTCCTCATCAGGTTGCGCCGCCCGGTGATCCTTGTCCAAGGGGAGACTCGGGAGTCCGGGCTCCTTCCCCCCTGTGGCTCTGTCATCCTCTGTGTCCTTGGAATGGTCCCTGTGTAGTGGCCACAAAGCACGGCGGATTGTGCGGGCCTTGTCTGAAAGTGGCAGGCGGGTCCATACCTTGGACCCACCTACATGCTACCGGCCAGGTGTCAGTTATGAGGCCCCTGCCACCTGCAAGGGGAGCTGGGAAGTATAGTTTGGCTGTGTGCCCAAGATGAAAAGGATACAGGGCTTGGCAAACACATGGTAGTCTCTGTCACGGGAAGTGTGGCTCCCCAGTTCACTGGCTGTGAGGACCCAGTGGAGACATCTGTCGTTAATGAACATCTCTCCGTGTTTGCAAAACAGGCTCTACAAGGAAGCTGTGATCAGTTTTACACAGAAGAGGGGTCTGGCTTCAAAGGAGCTTGGTTTAGTCAAAGAAAGTTTTTTTTTTTTTTTTTGCAGGACTTATCAGAACCTTTAATATACTGCTATTTCCCAGACTTCTTGGACTCCTCTTTTGAGAGGCCTTTGAGAACTAGTAGTCTACAGAATGTGGTTCAGAAAACACTGCTTTAGACGTTACTCAGTACTCAGAAGACAGAATACTTTCACGAAAGCACTCGTGTAAAAAAAAAAAATCACCAAAATTTGTGGAGAGTTCAGTCCCCCAAGGATCTCAGCGTTAGGGGTTCATGCTGTGTGAAGAGAATATTTTTCTACCTTTCCTTCCTTTTTTCTTTCTTCCTTCCCTCCTTCTCTCTCTCCATCCGTCCTTGTAGAACCTATCAGGACAGGGCCCACATCTTATCCACAGCTGAGTGTAGTCAGTACTGTCTGCTGTCTGGATGGGGATGTGAATGATCTGTGTGGGGCCACTTAAATCCCCGTCTCGCTTTCAGCCGGACACGTCAGGGCAGTCCGCCTGGATTGGTCATGTCACCCTGGTCTGCCCATCTGGGTGGATGTGAAAAAATCCCTTTTCCTAAGCTTGGGTTTTTATGGCTGGCTGGCGTCATCTGTCATCATAAAAGTGAACTGAGGTTTAGCGTTGAGGTTAGACAGAATCACTCACAGAAAAAACTAGAGCGGGTTTATTTTTTATTTCTGTTACAGGCACCAGCCTAAATATATATATAGTTTAAAACTTAATTTGGTGTGTAATTGGGACTAGCTCTTTGGAGCCCTGGGTTATGTGTTTTGGAGCAGCTGAGAAGCAGGGGCACGGCGGGGCAGGCCGTGGTATGTTAATTGGTGGCCTCTGGGACCTGTGAGAGAATTGGATTTGAGTCCCCAGTTAGAATGAGCTTGGCAGTTTTATTTGCATCTCTATGGGCGCATACTGGGGAGACCACCGGTTCCTGCCACCTCGAGCAGGTCACCCATAGTCTCTGTCCACGATGGCTCTGGGCGCATCCCCGGCCTGCACGAGGGACAAAGGAGAGCAGGCGCGAGCCAGAGAGAGGGTGACCGAGCTCGGCCAGCTCTGGCCTGCCACTTCTCCGCACACTTAGGTGAAGTAAGTTGCGTGCTGCTTGGCCTGTGGTCCCAAGGAGGGTTTTGCATTTTATTACCAAAGTCTTGATAAAAGGGACCTCAGGTCAGAGCAAACATTCAGGGAGGAAAAACAAAGGAAATTAAATGCAAAATCACTGCGGGTGTAAACCACATGGAGGCCTTGCCTTTAATACCACCAGAGCCGGTGGAGGGAAGTGGCCCCCAGGAGTCGGAACCAAGGAGTGCTGGCCTGGGATTCCTGAAGCCTGGCCCCTCTCCTGTTTAAAAAGAAATTGCCGTTTAATTTGTTTCTGAGTTTTATTTCTCAAGTGAACCAGCATGGGGCCATGTAATGAGCTTGTGTTTCTAGGAGGTGTTGAAAGATGGGAAAGGAGCAAAACCACGGCCAGACGGGGTGGCCGAGGACTCCCGGGGGTCCAACAGCGGCAGGACTGGAGGGGCAGGCGGGGGCTGCCCGGGCGCTGGCTTCTCTGGGTGCTGTCTGGGGGGTCAGGAGGTGCCCTTGCGTGGGCTGCTGCCAGTCCACCAGGAGACCAGAGCGAGGGAGCTGTCTCTCCATCTCTGTTTAAAGATCCCTGGGGCCAGCCCGAGCCGCCGGAGGAGGGTAGCGCGGCCGACGTGAGCCGAGGAGGACACTTCAGATGAGAGTGGGTCTGAGCCGTGGAGAAAAAGATTTGGCAGGAACGGGAGAGTGTACGTAAGCCGCTCAGGAGGCTGCTGGTAAAAGGATGGGCAAAGGCTTTCTGGACCAGGTTATTATCAGAGGAAGCCCTAGAGATTGTCACCAGTGGGGGCTGCGACTGTCCCCTGGAGCTGAGATGGCCCTCTGTCTGGTGCCTGGTGGATGGGAGCAGGTGCGTGCCAGGAGCTTGC